GGAAGGAAGGGAGCAGGGAAGAAAATAAAAGGAAGGTTAGGATTCTGCGACAGGGAGCAGGCACAGGAGCTGGAACCGGAGCCGCCCGAGGCCCGCGGGGAACGCTGGGCTCGGGCCTCCGGCGCCCTGACCCGGCCAGGCTGAACGAGCCCTCGCCTGGCCTTGCTGTCCCGGCCCGGGAGCCTGGCCCGAACCGGCTGGCGCAGAGACGCAGATAGATTCGGCCGGGAGGGACCGGCCAGGAGCCACTGAGCGTGGAGACCGCCCCAGGCCACCGAGGTGACAGCTGACATGATGACACAGCAAGACCCAGGTCACCCCTCCTTTGCTGGCCTGCCCTGCCCCCGCTCCGCCCACCTGCCGACCCCACCAGCAGCGGGCTCTTGGCCAAGAACAAAATCTCCTTCGCTGCTTGATCAGGCTCGGCCCGGCCGTGGGTTTCACAGCTCTGAGAGGGGAGCAGACCCAGTGAGGGGCACACACCGGGTGACCCAGATGGGGCACAGCCCGCTCAGCCCTGGCCCCAGCAGGGAGTTGCTTCTTAGAAGGCCACGGGGACAGGCCTGTCATCGCTGCACATAAGAGGCTGAGGCAGGAGGATCACTGTGAGTTTGAGACCAGTCTGGGCTACATAAGTGAGTTCAAGGCCAGCCTGAACTGCATAGCGAGACCCTGTCTCAAAAAGACAAAAAAAGGTGGGGGCGCTGCTGGGGATATAGCTCAGTGGCACAAGCGCCTGCCTAGCAAGCGCAGAGTCCTGAGTTCCGTCTCCGGTACCGCAAAAAAAAAAAAAAAAAAAAAGGGCAGCTTGGATTACAGAGAGAATTCAAGGCCAGCCAGGACTACATGGCGAGACCTGGTCTCAAAAATCAGCAATGAAAGGAAGAGGAGGATCGGGGGGAGTCGGGGGGAAGAGAAGGAAGCTAGCAACCGGCAAGGAAGAAGCTTCGAGGGGCACCGGCTGCTTTTTCTGGTATCTGCTCTTGCCAGAGATCGCCACGGGGACAGAGGAAAAACACATCCGGGCCCTTAATCCGTTTCTCAGGAAAAGTACCATTTGTATCTTCCTTTGAAGCAGTCGGAAACTAAAAAAGCTGTTTAGAAAAGAGAGAGAGAGAGAGAGAGGGAGAAGGAAGGAAAAAGGAAGGAAGGAAGAAAAGAAAGAAAAAGAAAGGAAGGAAGGAAGGAAGAAAGGAAGGAAGGAAGGAAGAAAGGAAGAAAGAAAGAAAGAAAGAGGGGCTGGGGATTTAGCTCAGCGGCAAAGCGCCTGCCTGGCAAGCGCAAGGTCGTGAGTTCGGTTCCTGGTACCGGAGAAAAACAGAAAGAAAGAAAGAAAGAAAGAAAGAAAGAAAGAAAAGAAAGAAAAGAAAGAGAAAGAAAGAAAGAAAAGAAACAGAACACAGCGACTCTTCCCTTTGGCCCACAGATGCCCCCAGGAGACACGCAGGGTGAAGCTGGCGCTCCATTTCCGGCCGTTTCCTTTGTTACCATACAGCTCTGGCTCAAGCCTGGCACTGAAGCACGCACCTGTGACCCCAGCAGTCTGGGAGGCTGAGGCAGGAGGACTGCAATTTCAAGTCTAACTTGGGCAGCTTAGCGAGATCCTGTCTCAAAATAAAAAAAGGAAGGAAGGAAGGAGAGAGAGAAGAGGGAGGGGAGGAGAAAGAAAGAAAAGACCGACTGATGAAAAGGGCTGCGACCCAGGTCAGTGTTTGCTCTTTGCCCAAAGCCGTGGCTCCATCTGCAGCACAGAAAACAAACAAACCAAAAAACTCACAAAAGGGAAACAACAGGCCCCAGACCCATGAAACTGAGCTTCCAGGTATTTGTTCCCAGGGGTCGGAACCCACAGCCAATCTGGACCCAGGGCTCTGCAGCTCGGGGCCTCTCCCCGCTCTGTGGGGATGAGGATGGCCAGCACCCACCCCTTACAAAGACAGTGTCGGCCTGCTTCCCGCGGAAACCAGGAGGCCAGCAAGACCCTGCCCCTCCCCACGGAGTCACCACCGCTAGGGGGAGAGACCTGAAGGACCCAGGCACAATGGTGCTCGCCTGTCATCCCAGCCTGCGGGAGGCTGAGGCAGGAGGATCGCTGACTTCAAGGCCAGCCTGAACTACATAGCAAAAAACCCTCTCTCGAGAAACAAAACAAGCAAACGCCAAATGAAAGTGTCTGGGTGTGGCTTGGTAGTGCAAGTTTCCAGCCGCAGAACACCGTTCCTTGGAGTATGTAACGTGACTTTGTCTCAGGCTGCCTACCCTTGGTTATCCGGAGCCAGGCACGGGCAAGGAAGGGATTTAGGGCTGAAAGGTACAGACTGCCTCCCAGGATGCATCCCTGTCGTTGGATTTGTTCCCACGCCTGCAGTGGTCAATATCCCAGAAGTCACAGCGGCACACACATACCTCCATTCCTCTCCGTCTCAGCCAGATGCTTTTCTAGGCTCTGACTACAGTGTTTTTAAAATTTTTTCTGTTTATTTATTTGTTCATTTTTGCTTTCTTGAGACAGGATCTCACTGTGTAGTTCAGGCTGCCTTTGAACTCACTACGTGGCCCACGTGGGCCTCGAAGTCACAGGGATCCTCCTGCCTCAGCTTCCCAAGTGCTGGGATTCCAGGTGTGCACCACTGTCCCCAGCTTGCTCTACAGTGTGTAATGACTCTTCTGCTAAGATGAAAACTCCGCCTCCTCTTGAAGGTGACACTGCCCGGACACACTGCCGGCAGCCGGGACCTCCCGTCACTTTTGTGTAAGAGCAGTGGTACACAGAGCCTGTGGGTTCCCGGGAACAGTAGCCCGGCTTTATGATCAAACTCCAGCCACCTCCGGCCAAGGTGCTGGGCACATGGTTACCAGGGCCCGACCCAGCAGTGCCTGGGGCTCCCCCACCCCATCTTCCCTCCCCTCCTGCTCCTTGGTCATGTCAGCTCGTCTCATTCAAAAGTAAAAGTCTTGCCGGGAGTGGTGGCACACACCCGTAATCCCAGCACTCTGAAGGCTGAGGCAGGAGGATCACTGAAAGTTCAAGGCCAGTTTGGGCTATATAGTTAGTTCAGGAGCAGCCTGAACTATACAAGACCCTGTCTCAAACAAACAAACACACAAAAGGCTAGAGGCCATAAAGGTATGAAGGAAAGTCACTCAGGGGTATGAATAGCAGGGCCTACGATTAGAAAATGACCCACTGAAAATCACTTGTAGCGAGATAGGATCTCGCTACAAGGTCCAGGCTGGCCTCAAACTTGCGATTCTCCTGCCTCATCCTCCAAGTGCTAGGAATACAGGCGTGCACCAGCAAGCCCAAGAAAATATTTTCACTCCCATAATGGTACCCAAATTCAGCTAGAAGAATGTCTAGAGGCCAGACCTTTGCCCTACTTTACCCCTCACGAATGAGGGGGAAAGCTGGGCTTGGTGGTTCATGCCTGTAATCTCAGCACTTAGAAGGCTGAGGCAGGAGGATTGCTATGAGTTCAAGGCCAGCCTGGACAGCACAGTGAGACCTGGTCTCAAAAAAAAGGAGACAAGAATGTGAGTGAAAATAAGAAAGAGGAGGCCTGTTCTGCTCCTATGACTGTGCTCTGCCTTGACCCAGCTGGGTATCCACTTCCCCCTCTCCTTGTTTATCTTTGGGGACAAGGTGCCCGTCCACAGAAGCTCCTCTCCCCTTGTCCAGTCCAAACCGGCTGGGAGTGACCATCAGGTGCCCTCAAGCTTTTACCATAATCCACCTGGAGCTTAGTGACAGCCTTAGTGCCACCAAAGTTGACAGCTGCCGTGACGACAACAGGAAACAACCATCCAAGCAGAAAGAGGTGGTGTCCAAACTCCCCTCCTTAGCTCATTACCCCTTTTTTCTATCTTTTTCTTTCTTTCTCCTTTTTCTCTCCCCTTTTTTTTTTGGTCTTTTTGAGACAGGGTCTTGCTATGCAGTTCAGGCTGGCCTTGAGCTCACTTTGTAGCACAAGCTGGTCTTGAACTTGCAATGATTCTCCTGCCTCAGCCTCCCGGGTGCTGGGATTATAGGCGTGCACCACCATGCCCGGCAACCTCCTCATTTCTTTTACGCCAAATCCATAATCTCCAGAGCCTCCATGAGTGGAGAGGTTGAGTTCCAAGTTTTATCTCCCGCTTCCTGGCCAAAACAAGTGTCTCCTTCACTGGGGATCAGCGTTTGGTCTCTTTTTTGTTTCTATATCTTTTGTTTTGTTTGAGACAGGGTCTGGCTATGTAGAGCAGGCTGGCCTCGAACTTGTGGCCATCCTCTTGCCTCGGCCTCCACATGCTGAGATAACAGGCATGCCCTATCATGCCTGGCGGTTCCATATTTTCTTTCTTTTTTTCTTTTTTTTTTTTTGGTTTTGGTTTTTTCCGGTACCAGGAGTCGAACTCACGACCTTGCGCTTGCCAGGCAGGCACTGTGCCGCTGAGCTAAATCCCCAGCCCCCAAAGTGCCATGATTTTGACAGGTGAAAAAGGATTCAGATTGCAGGAGAGCCCCCTGAGCCTCAGTTTCCCCACGTGGACAGCATGAGCGGTGTTAATATCTATGCCCTTTTCTTTTTTGCAGCTTAGGGTTCACAGTGAGGGGCACAGGATGTGGGTCAGGACAGTGCTTTCACAGCATAAAGTGGCTGCTAACGGCTGGATCCGTTTCAGGGCATGGACCGCAGTCGCCCTCTAGAGGCCGGGTAACTCCTGGCTGACGCTTCTGAGACCACGGGTGAACCCGTGGCCGCCATCTTTTTTCCGGGTAGCGACCATGTTGGTAAAGGCAGTCTTCTGGATTTTAGCTTTTACCCGCCTTCCTGATCCTCACTATAAAAAGTATACGCACACACCAGAGGTTTATGAAATATTCTCTTTTAAAAATGAAATAAATCCCCGAGAACTTTGACTTCGATCTCAAAACCAGACCGCCTTTCCTTTACCAAGATGTCGGCCACGCCGAAACGTAGGGAGCGCGCGCCGCCCGGAGGCCAGCGCGCAGGCTCCGGGGTGACGTCAGAGAGGCGCGACCAAGCCGGCGCTGGGGGAAGGAGGTAGGAGCGGCCGCGGCGCGGGCGGAGCCGGGGTGTGGGGGGCTGGCGGGTGGGGGTGCCGGGCTCGGGATCGCTGGCGGCTCAGCCCGGAGCGGGGCGCTCTGGGACGCGGGCGCTTCTGGCGCCCACTGTCGACAGATTCCAGGAGGCCGTGTCCGTTTCCCGGACCTGGGGACCGAAGTCCCGGGGGACGGCGCCGCTTGGGGCCGGGGCGCCCGCGCAGCCCCCGAGCAGCTTCCGGCCCGCGGCG